GGCTGCTAACCAAAAGGCTAGTGGTTCATATCCACCAATCACTCCGCAGGAGAAAAAACTTGGCAATCTGCAACCATAAAGACTAAACATGCAAAACCAAACTCACACTCACTGAGTCAATTTTGGCTCATAGCAACCCTATTGGGTAGGGTAAAACTGCTACTGTGGGTTTCGGAGACTAACTCTTTACTGAAGTAGAAATTCTCCTCTTTCTCTTGTGGAGTAACTGGTGGTTTGGAACTGCTAACCTTGCGGTTAGCAGCTGTGGTAATTACATAATTTCATGTCACCTTGAAGATATGTAAAAGTGTAGAGGTGGTATTCAGCCTAATGGTGCCTCCTGTGGGCGTGGCCTTCTCATAAGGGAAGATCTGGGAACCTGTCCCCTCTCTCTCTCTCTGCCTTCACCTTCCTGATGTTTGACTCTGATTGCAGCCAGAGCTCTGCCACTGCCATTGGATCCACACGACTCTGTACCCACCTGTGATCTTCCTGCATTCTGTATCATTGCTTGTGACTGTGTGAGTTTGAAGAGGGACTGACTTATGCACGAGTACCAGACATATGGATTTGAGTTGAACTGGGCTAGGATGTTTTCTTGATATACAATTACTTCTTGATAGAAATCTCTTTCTTACAAATATGAGTGTCTCTGGATTTGTTTCTCTAGTCATCCTGGCCTAACACAGCAGCCCAATGGGGAACCACAACACCACCAGAGCCCCCATAAAGATCACAGTCTAGAGAATCCTATAGGCAGTTCTATGGCACACGGGGTGATATTAGTTGAAATGGACTTCATGGCAACAGTACCTAACAAGAACATTCACAACAATTGTAAAGTAATTAAGACAGAAATTATCTCATTTTGCACATTGGGCTGCTAACCACAAGGTCAGAGTTCTAAACTACCGGCCATTCCCCATGAGAAAGACGGGGCTTTCTACTCCAGTACAGAGTTAGTCTCAGAAACTCAGAGGGGAAGTTCTACCCTGTCCTATATGGCTGCTATGAATCAGCATCCACTCAATGGCAATGAGTCTGGTTTTGGTTTTTGCAAATAAGAAAAATGCAAACCAGAAAACTCACATCTGGATAAGTGGACTAGCTAAGCCTAAAACGTAGACCCGCTGCACAAAATTAACCTATTAGGAGCCACAGTGTATGGATGAGTAACAAATTTAACAATGCCAACTTTAAACCCTTGACTTCCAACTTTCTCATAGGATACAGTAAACTGCAAAGCGCTATCTTCAAAGAGTTTTTAAAACTCAAGAAGAGGGAGAGCTAATTTGCAGAGTTCTGAGACAAACACAGGCTCATTGGTCAGATACTGGATGTCACACAAGTCAGCAAGAACAGTTCAGCTGACATTTTAACAAATTGCCAGGTCACTGATGGTGAGCAGAGGAGGTTACAAAAGGCCCTGGATGAGGCTTTGGGGACATGAGGGCAATGGAACTGTCCTATATACTAATTGGGATGGTGGTTACATGAGGGAGGCTTCAAAGAGCTCATGGGAAAAAAGCCCTTGTATGACTATGCATTTGTTAATAATCACAAAACTGCAGAAAGGTGAGGAAAACCTGTTAAGGGTGCAGTTTGCTGTGTATGCAGATGAAAAGCTATCCTGATTTTAAAAAGAAGAGGATGTATTGACACCCACACTCTGAGGATGTATTGACAATGAACCCACACTGTTATTCCTCAGACTGGTCTAGGTATTTGGGGTTCCTATGCCCCAAGGCCATTGCACAATAATAAAGCGCTGTCATAATACGGAATTTTCCTAGTAAATGTCCTTAATGTGTAAATGAAAAATAAATATGCCTATTTTCCAACCCTTTAGAAGAGAGTGTCTACATAAGCCACCAAAGCAGAGAAAACAAAGACGAGTTGCGCTTGGCTGCTGGGCAACAGGCTGCCTCACCCACTTGCTAAATGCTCACTGGTCTACACAAGCCTGGCAACTCCAGCAACTGAAATCTACAACTCAGCAAGCTGCCAAGTACAGAGGTCTCGGAGCTTTGGGGTCGCTGACAAACGGCAAAAAATCCAATCAACAACTTTGCAGCTGTCTCCTAGGAAAATAAAAGATCTTAAGCTTTTTTTAAGTTGAGCAACACAATGGTCTTCCAACTAAAATGTATGTATAATCAAAGTATATAATGCTATCCACTAATAAATTGCTGAGCTAATCAGGATTGGCACAGAAATTACCTGAATTCAACTTCTACCCTCTGTGTCCCCCAACCCCACAAAAGAAAGAATCACCAAACTTTACAAGATTATGAAAAAATGTTTTTACAAAGGATCTGCCTAATCAGGATTTCAGTAGATGAAGGGTATTGCCATGTGGAAAAAGAAAACTGCCCTTCTTTCAGTAGCAGAGAATAAAATAATATTCTTTGGACCTGAAGGTAGAAACTTCCTCTTGCTTATGTTGGACATATCATCAGGAAAGATCAAACCCTCAGAAGGACACCATGTCTAATAAAGTAGAGGGTCAGAGAAAATGAGGGAAGTCTGCGATGCGATGGATTGACACAAAACCCACAAAAATGCACTCAAACACTTCCAAGGTCAGAAAGATGGTGCAGGGCAGACAGATTCATTCTGAAGGTCACCAGGAGTCAGAGCTGATTCCACAGCAACTGGCAGCAACAACCCTAAAAGTAGCATAGGAAAGTGCAGATATAAAAAGGTTGACAGACCCACACCCATGTATATTTCAGAAGGGGAAGAGGGAGTTTTGCTTAGAAGCACTGAATTTATGTTAATGGTGGCAAAATAATTTACAAAACCTAAGTAGTCATCTAAGTTGCAACTATTGTGCTCTTCCCATCTAGATGAAAGAAGAATGACGAAACTCCAACGACAGTTGGAAACATTTGGTGCACTGCACCATTTAAACATCAGCCTCCTCAACACGGAGATCCTAAGAACTAGATGGTGCCCAATTACCACTATTAACTGCTCTGAGAATGATCACTGTAGAAGGTCCTGAGTAGGAGAAAAATGTGAAACAAAACCTAAAATCACAAAAGAGATCACCAGACTTACTGGTCTGATAGCGACTATGGTCCTTAGTCACCCTTCAATTCTGGAACTAACTTCATCTCTGTTAGAATAGACAACCCATTAAGATAAATGGGGCAACATGTACCAAAGGACAAAGCACAGAGGGTTAGGAAAGGTAGAAGGATGGAAACAGGAAATACAGGGAGGAAGTGGGATTAATGATAGTATACTGAAGGGATTGCAATGGATGACCTGAAACAAAACGTGTATGAACTGTTAAATGTAAAACTGATGATCTGCTCTGTAAACCTTGACCTAGCTCACAATCCAAATTTTAAATAATTCCAAAAACGATGGCAATAATGGTGCACAATATGGAGAATGTCACTGAATTTTACATGTAGAAATTTTTAAATTGGAGAATTTTTGGTTGTATATTTTTACCAAAATGTTAAAAGCCATATATATGTGATGTGTGTGTGTGTGTGTGTGTGTGTGTGTAGCGATAGCAATATATAACTGCTTCACTGACTAGGTGCCCTGATGACATAGTTGGTTTACACAATGGGCTGCTAACCTCAAGGTCAGCAGTTCAAGCCCACCAGCCACTCCTTGGGAGAAAAAGGAGGTTAGCTACTCCTGTAAATATGTACAGTCTTAGAAACCCTAGAGAGCAGGTCTACTCTTCCCTACAGGGTTGCTATGTGGGGGAATCATTCGAAGGCAATAGGTTTAGTCTTTTGGTGTTTTTATTTTATTTTTCGTTATTTTCCTGACAGCAGTACAAAGAACCAAAATGCTCATGAGTCTTATCCTATCTCTTACCTCCTACTACTCTGCTACTACTACTTAGCAGTGTTACTCTAGGAAATTACTTAGTCCTTGGAATTTATCCTTGAAAGCAACATGGAAATAATTTTGTAATTCCCAGGAAAAGAGTTTGCTTTATATAGTTCGTTAGGGGAAAAAAATTGGCAGGGGGATGGGTGGAATTTTTTTTAAGAGATCATTTAGGTTTGGGACATTATTTAATTGTTGTACTAGGACAACACCAAGAATATACATTAAGCTTTGCTTCAAACTTTTTTTAATGATTACATTATTTTATTGGGGGCTCATACAACTCATCACAATCCATGTATACATCCACTGTGTCAAGCACATTTGTACATGAGTCTCAAAACATTTGCTTTCTACTTGAGCCCTTGGTATCAGCTCCTCATTTTGCTTCAGACTTTTAATTTAGCTACTAAACCCAAGTAAGCTCATAAAGTCGATTCTAATTCATAGCAATCTTATATAGGACGGGGTAGAACTGCCCCAAAGCGGTCAATCCTTTTATTTATTTATTTACTTTTTTTTTAATAAATCATTTTACTGGGGGCTCTTACACAAGGCTGTAAAGCTTTATGGAAGCAGATTACCTCCTTTTTCTCCCTCGTAACAGCTGGTGGGTTTGTACCAACCTTTCATTCCTGCCAAGCACATTAAGCACACACCAACAGGTCTTTTTCCTTTAACTACAAGGCTATTATAAATGGAGGAATATCCCAAACAAGTAACTATGTAATTTTATTTAGATTTCTATGTACATAACTGAACCAAACATGTAAACTCCTGTATATCCCTGCTGATCAAATCGTCATAATCACCAATACCAAACAGAATCACCTGAGGAGATTTCCCAACCAACACCATTTGGTACCACTCCCAAATCTGCTGAATCAGGTTTTCCAGGGTGAGGCCCAGCACAAATGTTTGAACACGTTCCCAGGTGATGATACTGAGCCCAAACACCCGATTGCTAAGCAATGCTCTTGAACACATCTATAACAGTTGCTGCGCTTGAAAAGAATCACTTACTTGTTACAATCCCAGCCAAAGCAAACACAAACTGATTCTCATTGGAATCAAGCTCCTTCACATCTCCATCGAGGGACTTCACAAAACTCTCCATCGTCTGACCCGTGATGTTGAAAAACTTCAGGGCTTTCTCCTAGAAATTTGGAAATGAAAGTATTATATATTTTCACAGACACCAGAAGAAAGGTATGTTGTAAATGCAGGATACAGAAGACAAGCATACAGGCATTCTTTTAAAATCCATTCCTTCAACAAAAGTTCCAGAATTGGAGAAAAGACGTTGGGGCCAAGAGAAGCAAGAGAAAGCACCCTGAAAATTGACGGGAAATAATAAAAAGGAAAAAAAATCATATTCGTGTACATATGAATGAAATAGGACAGCTGTATCCAACAAAGGAAGTATTAGCATGAATCCACGTGAAAGTATAACAAGAATATACTTTAAAAATACATTATTTATCCATTTGTTCTATGCATTAAACCAGGGCTTTGCAAACCTTTACTGAACCGTAAGTGAGAGCTCAACATGTAAAAAGGTAACAACTGTCAGCTGGTTGCTCTGGCAGTTTAAATCTTCATTATTTGGCAAAAACATTCGTAAGCTTGCAGGGGCTTTGAAACAGTTCCCTGAGGGTGCCGGAGTTCTAAAGATTAGTTTAAAACCAATGATTTCCAAGAACACAAGGGAACCGGTCGGGGTGTTAGAAATGTTCTAAAAGTGACTTGTGATGATGACTGCACAGCTCTAGAAATCTGAACAGCTCCTGCCTTATACACTTAACAGTAGGTGAATTTGGGGTGTGTTAATTATACCTCAATAAGGCTATTAAAAATGTAACTGCCTTTAGTCCCTTCCACTTAAAGGCAAATACAATTTTTATTTCTGTAAGCCAGCTGCTATCTAACAAATTTATCAATGTTCTCCCACTAACATTCTTCTCTGGATTTTTATTTCCCTACATGACTACACCGTTCCCTCAGTCTTCTGTGGTCCCTCCCTTCCCCTTGCCTACCATCTGCCCCCTGCCCCTGCCCCCTCAGGCAGCTCTCCAGCCTGCCTGTCCTGCTGGTAGGGTTTCCGACAGTCTCCCCTCCGTCACCATCCTCACTGCACTGTCAGTCATTGTCCCATCATTCTGCTCGGGCCCTACTGCTCCTTTACTGAAACTTCTAAGAAGCACAGGCCTACCACTTACAGAAGACTGCCAACCACCTGGCATTTAAGATCTTCCATAGCCACACCCCAACACACCTTTTAAGCCTTATCTTCCCACTATTTTGCTTTATAAACCCTCCACTCTGCCAAGTGACCTACTCACTGTCCCTAAATCAAACCTCTGACTTCTTACTCTGTCCACTGTCTGCCACTTCTACCTACTAAAATTAACCAAGGCCCATTTCAAAGCTCTTTCTCTGTGAAGTTCCCCAATACACATGCATTACTTAACATTTATGTACATATATACATATGACTGTATGGGTCATATATGTAAAAACACTTTAAACTTGCTAAATGAATATAAATGTCAAGTGGGAGCCCTGGTGGCTTAATGGGTTATGCATTGAGCTGTTAGTCCCTAGGTCAGTAGTTAGAACCCACCCATCCCTCCTCAGAAGAAAAAAGAGTCTGTCTATTCTCATAAAGATTTAAAGTCCCAGAAATCCAATGGGGGCAGCTCTACTCTGTCTTACAAGATCGCTATGAATCAAAATTGGGTTTGGCTTGGGTTTAGGTAATTTTGAAGTAGTAGTATCTTTTTCCTTCTTTTTTTAAAATTAGGATATATTTCATATATCCTACAATTTAATCATTCAATTATGTTAAAAAGATTTGTGCAATAATTACCACAATTTATGGACATTTTCTTCTTAAACTCATTTGTTGTTAGCTCCCCATTTCTCCCTGCCATGCCCCTGGGTGATTATCAATCTAATTGCTGTCTCTATAGAGCTACTTAGATGCAAATTCTAAAAGGAGTGAGGTCTTATTTTATTCCTCTTTGCATACCCCAGAGCCCAAGGTTACAAGGAGCTGTACACAATAGGTATGCACTAACTGTTCAATGACTGAACACGAGTAAGTGGTCAGCAAGACATGGGTTTCTCCTGTAAGTGCCTGAACAGACTTAGGGCATCAATGATATAAGATACATGAACGTAATCAACAAGATCCAGAGAAGACCAAGGGTTATGCTTACTCCTCCCAGAATGGCTTTGACGACCTCTTCGCTGCTGGAGACGCCCCACAAGAGGGTGCAAGCTGCTGCCCCCATTTCTGTGCAGTACTCAGCCTGCTGCAGCAGTTGCTGCTTTGCCTCATTCAGCTGTTGTCGAAGAGCCAGTTTCTCCTGAAATCCAAACAAAATAACCAGGAACATGAGCACTAGCATTCAACCTTAAAACATCTCTATTTGTTGCTTTTCACAAAGATATTTTAAAAGGAAAGAAATGAAGGCAGAATTATAGAAAAGCATTGGCAAATCAACTTTATTCCCTAGGGAGCCACAATCCGCATTTGGGGGGGGGGGGCACCACAGGGAGAATTGCAGAGGCAGAGACTCTCAAAAAAAAGAGCACAAAACTGCATTGCAGTTATAAACACCTTGGTGCTTTGAACTCACCTGCTTTAAAGTAAAATGAAAACATGAAGCTACTTAGGTCTCACATAGCTATGCCCAGAACCAGCGAATGTGACAATGAATGGAAGGGGCAGCTTAGCACAGCAGTTTTCATAGGGCCCCAGTTCTATCAAAGGGCCCAAGGCTTCTGACAGCCCATTTCATGGTAAAACACTCTACTCCAGAGGCAGACCAGGGCCCCCTGTTACATTGTACAACTGGAGGAAAGAATATGTTATAGAAAAGCTCACTCTTCACAAACTTATTCTCCAACCTTCATGAGAATACTATCAAAGGCAGGGTGACTCGCTGGCCAAGGAAAGAACACTAGCATGGGGCAGAGGCAGAAGAGTAAGAGAAGGAGCCCCGCTGCAGAAAATCTGCATGAAGCTGACAAGAAAATGGAGGCCCAGGGAGGTGTATTATCCTACCAAACAGCAGCTTCTGAGAAGCCACTCCTGATAACCAGGGCTGGGCAAGTCTCAGCCTGGGTCCTTCTATCAGTCACCTGCCCCTCGGCCTAGAACCTCTGTATACACAGCCATTTCTAAAGGGGACAAATTATATTTATGGGGGCTTCCTACCCGAATCTCCACTGCTACCTTCACTATTTCATATCACCTGAGATCCTCTTAAAAGGTGACAGTATTGGGTACATAAGCAAATGTGGTGAAGAGAGCTGTTGGTGCCCGGCTATCAAAAGATATA